ACTAATTCCTGGGAAGGTAGGACTGACTTCTGAAGACAGAATGGATTGGTTTGGGTAAGGCGTAAACCTTTTAGGACTGAGATGAGTTAAAATGCCTTCACCCCAAGAGTGGTGAGCCTATGGAATTCATTGTCTGCTCAAAGTGGTTGAGGCCAAAACGTGAGGTGTTTTCCAGACAGAGGTATATATAGGTCCTGTGGCTAAAGTGAATTTCGGCATCTGGGAGGAGGACAGGATTAAAGTATTGAGCCATGATCATATCGATTGGCGGAAGATAAGACCATAACATACAGGAGTGGAATTATCACATTCGGTCCATTGGGCCTGCTCTGCCATTAGATCATGGTTAATATATTTCTCATAATCACACACCTGCTTTCTCCCCATAACTTTTGATTTCCTTATTAATCAAGAAACTGTCTCTGTCTTGGATACACTCAATAAAGCGGCTTGAGGGTTCGCAGGGAGTTCAGGCCAACCAAGCTCCTTCCCTAGCTATCTCTCATTGTCACTCATGCTGTTTCGCAATTTGAGAACTTTTGAACTTGGCAGAAAGCACCTCTTGAACAGACACAGCCAGGAAATCTATGAGCCAATGCCGTGAGTAATTAAGACTCCTGTCAACTTCCCTTACACAGGACTTCATGGAAGAAATTAGAGGTCTGTGGGATGTCTGAAACAAACATGTTGTTTCTCAAACCATTATATCACACACACACACACACACACACATGAATCTATGGGATGAATTTGCACTTGCAGATGCATTTTATTTTGTTCAAAAAGCACGCAATTTATAGACAGTTAGTCAATGTGGCATTTTATAAATTCCTACTTTAGAAACAAACCAGTCTGGCTCCAAGCTAAAACACAAACAGATTCTAAACAAGGTCTCACACCTAACATGCATCATCTGACCTAAAAGGTCACCTCTTCTTTACACTGATAAAGCCTTTAGTTCTCTCAGGACAGTGACTTGAAAGGAATTCGGGGACTTACATATGCATATTAATCAATTAAAGCCTTCTAACTGATTAAAGATTTAACAGCATCTCAGGTTTGTTTAAATCATCCTCATCAGTAGTATGACCCTTTGATCTTTTGCTTATAAATTCTGTGTCTGATACTACCTCTCTCACTTACACCTGAAGAAGGAGTGAGGCTCCAAAACCCTGTGATTTTAAATGAACTCCTTGAACTCTAACCTGGTTTCGTGTGATTTCTGACCTTGTCCACCCTAGTCCAACACCAGCACCTCCACATCATGGAAGAAAATACTATAACCTATGACTACAAGAGCTAGGAGCAGAAGTTGACCATTCAGCCCCTGGAACATGCTCTGCCATTCAGTATGATCACAGCTGATCTCATCTCGGCATCAACTCCACTTTCCTGCCCATTCTCCACAACCTTTCAACTCATTCCTAGTTATAGTCTGTCTACCTCCTCCTTAAATGTACTCAATGTCCTGGCAAACCCTTGGACAGTGAATTCCACAGATTGATGAACCTATTAGAGAAGCAATTTCTCCTCATCTGTTTAAAACCTGCTACCCTTTATCCTCAAATAAGAACATAAGATCATAAGAACATATGATTGATCTGTGGCCTAACTCCATTTACTTGTTTAGGCCCATATCTGTAAATACGTTTGTTTAACAAAGATTTATATGTCTCAGATAAAAAAAACAAGAATTAATCCAGCATCCAATGTTGTTCGTGGAAGAGAGTTACAAACCTCTCCCTTCATTTGTGTATCAAATTGCTTCCTAATATCTCTCCAGAACAGTCTGACCCTAATTCTCAGACCATGCCCCCTAGTTCTACTATCCCCAACCAGACGAAATAGTTTATCTCTATCTACTCTGTCTTTTCCTGTTAAAATCTTGAACACTTTGATCAGATTACCCCTTAACCTTCTAAATTCTAGAGAAAACAGACATTATTTATATAATGTCTCCTGATAGCTTAAGCACTTTTTAAGGTGAGAGGAAAAAGATTTAAAAGAAACCTGAGGGGCAACTTTTTCACACAGATGGATTCAACCACCAGAACATATGGTAGATGCAGGTACAGTTACAACATTTAAAAAGAAAACATTTGGAAAAGGAAGATTTTAGAGGAATATGAGCCAAATGCAGGCAAGTGGGCCTAGTTTAGTTTGGGAAACTTGGTCAGCATGGACAAGTTGGACCGAAGGTTCTGTTTCAATGTTGTATGAGTCTATGACCCTAAAGTCCAAGTATCATTCTTGTAAACCTATGTTTTACTCCCTCCAAGGCCAATATATCCTTCCTAAGGCATGATCCCCAGATCTCCTCAAAGTCTCCAAGTGGGGTCTAATCAGGGTTTTGTATAACTGCAACATAACTTCTTGTGCTCCAGTTTTCTACATGTAAAGGCCAGCATTCCACTAGCAGCCTTGATTATTTTCTGCACCTGTTTGTGACACTTTGTAGATCTATGCAGTTGAGCCCCCAAGTTTCTTTGGACATCCACTGTATTTAACTTCATACTATTGAGAAAGTGCCCTGATCTATCCTTTTTCAGTCCAAAATAGATAATATTGCTTACACTGAACTCCGTCTGCCACAGTTTTGCCAGCTCATGTGTGTTATGCACCATCTCATATTGAGCGTGTGCATTTCGTTGGAGGAAGTGAGTGGGTGGGATCAGGTCCCGGGAGGAGGCATTGGAGGGTAGGATATTAAACACCCATGAGGAGGGAGGGAGTGAGGGGGCAGGGATTGGAGCCCAGGAGTGGGAGGATGCAAGGGGACACTCTTGCCCCCATCCCCCCTCTACCCCTTCTTCATTCTCCCCCCAGTCATTCTATACTCCCTCCAATTCTCTTCCCCTCTCCATTCCCTCCACCTGTGTCCTGACCCTCCATTGCCAGAATCTGATTCAATAATATGCTCTAATGTACAGTTCAGTACTTGTTTGCATGTATTCCATGTGATGACATAACATCTGGAACTGCCTGTGCTTTTCGATAAGTGCATAGCTGCCCACTCAAATGACCTACTCCAGACCTTAGTTTTTATGTATCTGCAGTTTACTAATCCAGTTTATAAGCCAATAGATTCTGATGAATGGGGCAGACTGACACTGTTGCATTTTTCAACCTGTTTCATCCGATATTTCCTTTTGGCCACTTGAAAGGGCTCCAGGCTAACATGGTAATAGTCTCTTGATGGATCCTCAATGCCCTCACCCACACAGGCAACATAGAGCTTGACACTGTTTGTACACTCAATTGGACATCCCACTTAGGTCCATGTCATATCCACATGCCTGCCCGAATCTCAATCACACTCTCGTGTCCCTGGCCACCAGTGACCAACCCTAAAGTTTGCCTTCATCTCGGGTGGTGACTGCTTCCGGGAACAGGATGGTCAGGGCATTCACTTACTGCCCGATGGCCCACAATGTCTACTCTTCAACATATCAGCTTGAAGGATAAAAGTTTTGAGCTACACATCCTAACCACATGTGTGTTTGTGCAAGATTGCAGTTCGGTTTACAAATTTCTGCGCATTGCAGTCAGGGTGCTGCACCTACGCTATCATTCTGTCCAAGTGCATTTAATAAGTGATCAATTTAATGAGCTTATTAATAATACAAGTCAAAGTTATTGCATCTGATATATTGTTTAATCGCTTAGAATTGGTGGTGTTGCAATTTCAGTAAAGCAAGACTCCCCTTTTTAACTCTGAGGGGAAAAGATAACAGCTAGTGATCAACAATGTAGTTTTCAAAACCACATTTCTTCTTCTTGCAGGAAAACCCCACTTCCTGCAACTGTTTGGTTTCCTCAATTGCAAACAGTTTTATTTCATAATGTTTCATTTCAGTGCCCTGAAGATTTAAAGGAGTAACCTCACTGCATCTTGTCACTTGTTGTCATTTGCCAAAGAGCCATTTTGACATCTGATCTCAAAGACCATCTGAGCTCCCAGAGATATTTTACCATTTCTGTGTAGAATAGAGGACAGTGCATCTCCTACATGGTGTACGAGGCCAAGGAAATGCAGTTATGCTATTAGTCACCCAGCCCAACAGTGAGTCCTCCAGGAGAATGGGGCACGAGGGAAATGTACAGCCAAGAAGGTGCCGGGGAAGGGTTATGGACTACAGTGGGCCAGCCCGAAAACACTTCTTCATCCAGCGACTAGCTCAGGTATGGAATAAGGTGCCTGGACTTGTGGTGGAGGCAGGTTCCAATGAACCATTCAGGATGGCTTTGGGTGCTTGTTTAAAGAGAAACAAATTGCAGGGTTCTGGGGATTCAGCAGGAGATTGCCATAAAGTTAAAATGCACAGCTGACTGCCTCCTTCTGCACCTTAACAATTCTGTAATTTGTGAAGGGTCAGCTGCAACAGTCTCCCTGAATTAGGGTCAACAATATAGAACATAGAACATAGAACATTACAGCACAGTACAGGCCCTTCGGCCCTCGATGTTGCGCCGACCTGTGAAACCAATCTGAAGCCCATCTAACCTAAACTATTCCATTATCATCCATATGTTTATCCAATGACCATTTAAATGCCCTTAAAGTGGGCGAGTCTACTATTTTTGCAGGTAGGGCATTCCACCATAAAATTGTCAGTTTTACCATAAATACAAACGCTCAGAGATCAGGCTGAGAAAAGAGGGTTTCTGATCCCAACGTCCAGGAAAATGGATGTCTCTTTATTCCATTCCCTGAGATACTTTAGGAACATTAGAAAACACATGTGAAGGTAACACTGTGGCTAGAGAAGGTGAAGGTTAATATTAGGCATGAATATAAAGCCCAAAATCCATCAAATCTACTGTAAAAGGAAAAAGATAAGCAGACAGTCACAAGGTCAGGAGGGGCTAATTACACCGTGTGTAAAATGACCAACAATCTTATAATAAAGGACACCATGCAATCTGTGCATCAGCCTCTTAACATTTGCAACCCTTTGACTAGGTTGATTATTTACTTAAAACTTCACAGTGACACATGATCAGTTAACAATTGTTCAGTTTTATTTTTATGTATATTTTTGATCCAGAACTAACGTACATTTCGCCTTTACAGTTAGGGAAATAAATTCCAGTTGTCTAAACTAACTTTCTGTGATACCATTCGTGTCTCTACATTCACCAAATTGAGTAGCAAATACAAAGAATCAATTGAAGAGCGCAATCTTTAATATTCATTATGTAGGATTTTGAGATTAGGTGCCCCATGTGTCAATTTGCTAAAGCCTCAGGGCCAATGGAATTTGTGAAATACATGTTCTACAGTAGATGTACAGCTATCCAAAACCTGAAGTAAATGAGACGTGACTAACTAAAGACGTTAAACAAAATAAAAACCGAAAGAACTGCGGATGCTGAAAGTCAGGAACTAAAACAGAAGTTGCTGGAAAAGCTCAGCAGGTCTGGCAGCATCTGTGAAGAAAAAAATCAGAGTTAACGTTTCAGGTCTGGTGACCCTTCCTCAGAACAGAAACAAAATGGTTTGTAAAACATAGAAACCAGCAGCTAGAGTAGGCCATTCAGCCTTAAGCCAGCTCTGCCATTCAATATGGTCATTATTGATCCTCTATCTCAAAGTGTATTCCCACTTTCCTTCCATATGAAACACCTGAGGACTGCAAGTTATTTGAACTCCAGCGTAGGAGGACCAAGAAAGGGAAAAGAGAATATGAACGCAAGCTAGTTAGGAATATCAAGGTAGACTGTAATAAGCCTTTTCAAAAATGTGGAAAAGGAAAATTTACCCGGGAAATGTTCCCCCAGTACATGAGGGAAAGGAGAATGTGTAATGAGAAACAGGGAAATGCATCTGTCTGTGTGAAATACCAGGGAGTTGTGAAACAGATGAAGTAAAACAAATTGGAGTGAGTAGAGAATTTTGTGTTAGAAGGCTAACTGAATGAAGGGTTGGTAAAGCCCTTGGGCAAAATGAGATTCAATTCTGAGTGTTGAAGGAGATGGCTAGAGAAGACAGGGGAGGGAGAAAGAAATATCTTGCAAAATTGGACAGATTCTGGTAAGTTTCATGGTGACTACAAAGTAACAAATGTAACCTCACTATTTAGTAAGGGAGGGACAGGGGGAATGGAGAAATGCAGCTTTGTTAGTTTGAGATCAGTCGGATGTTAAATTTGTGAATCTTTATAAAGAGTGTGAGAGCTGGAGATTTAAGGAACTGTGATAAAATTGGACAGAGTCAACATGGAATTATAAAAGCTGAAATCCAGTTTGTCAAACAGGTGGAGATTTTTGAGGATGTTACTTGTCGCATTTGACAAAGGAGAAGCAATGGGTGCGGAACACTTTTCCAGGGTCCGACATAGGCTCGTAAATGAAATTATGGAGCATCCAATTGAGGATAAGATACTGCTGCGAGTGAAGACGCTGTTAACAGACAGAAAGCAGAGTGTAGTAATCAACGTGTCACTCTCAGGCTGTCAGTATGTAACTCACAAGGATCAGTGCGAGGTCCACAACTCTTCACATTCTATATTAATGATTTCAATATGGGGCCCAACTGTAACATTTTCAGATGTGGGAACATAAGGTGTGAGGAAGGCCCAAGAAGGCTTCAAGAGACCATAAGACCATGAGATTGAAGGGCAGAATTAGGCCATTTAGCCCATCAAGAGGATGTGGGCTTCCCAAGAAACATGGTGGATGTCATATAATGTGAGGAAGTGTGAGGTTTTCACTTTGGAAGAAAAAAAAGTCAGCAATACTGAAATGTTGCAGAGAGAAGGGTCTGAGGAAGGGGATGCAGAGCAGTGTTCAAGGCAAGCTCGGATCTGCTCAATAGCACTGGAGCCTCCAGAACTTCCTCACTTTTATATTTTACATCCACTTCGAGCGACGTGCAGGGAGAGAGCCAGACCTTACACTGAGCTGGGGACAAGAGGAGGACGGGTTGGTGAAGATAGAACTGCAGGAATTGAGTGAAATCTCACCCAGAGATACAAATCAGGGCTGTCAGAATCCACAATCCACTGAAAGCTGAGTTTGCTATCCCCTCATTGGGCACCACCACTAGCTTCCCACTCTTCCCTATCTTCAACCTCATCTGTTTTTCTTCCTTCGTCACCCCCGTCAGAGGAACACAGTTGCCATACGTCTCGGAAGTGATCTTTCCCACGATGAACAACTCGTAGGGTGGGATCAGGACCTCATCCTCCGAGGGGAAACACGAGTATTTTTGGATTCGTACTCCATACTGGGTTCTGATGTTGAATATAGTGTTCGTCTTTGTACTGGGGTTAATGAATTTCCGGGCAACATTTTCATCCAGTGAAGAAGAGGCGAAGATACCAAAGCGCATCTGTGACCCCTCAGTGCCCTCAGCCAGATGTTTAATCCCTCGATAAACCCTCTTGGTCTCTGTGGGGGATTTGCTTCTCAGTTCCTCCAGGGCAGTAGCTAGCAGGTAATGATAACTTTTATACTTGAAGTTGTTTTCATATGTCATCTCATCGGCTCCATATTCCCTGACTGCATCGTTGAATTGTCTGTAGAATGGCTTCTTTCTGGGATATTGTGCCGTATAGGCATAAACCGCGAGCATGTGTTCCTTTGTGAGGCCACTGGCAACAGGGCACTTCATATTATTCTTGGCATTTTTCCAAACATCACCTGTTTCATTCTGGACGTGGCTGATAGCCAGCTGATCGGATTCTGTACTGCGCCTAAAGATGTAAGCTGCAGAACTTTTAACCATATCCAGGTGGATAACATCCTCAAGACCATGACCTATAGAACAAAATAGGAATGGGACCTGGAATTACTTTCTGCAGGGAGCATAGGACTGTAGGAAATAGGAACAAGAGTGTACTCTGCCATTCAATGGGACCATGGCTGATCTGACATTCCCCTCTCCTGCCCTTTCCCCATAACCATTGATTGGCAGGTTAAATGGGGTAATTGAGAAGGCATATCATACACTTGCTTCTATCAGTCGTGGTACAGATTCTAAGAGCAGCGGGGTGATGTTGGAGCTGTACAGGACTTTGGTGAGGCTAGGGATGGAGTACTGCATGCAGTTCAGGTCCCCACAGTATAGGAAGGATGTGATTGTACTGGAGGGAGTGCAGAGGAGATTCCCCAGAATGTTGCCAGGGATGGAGCACTTCAATGATGAAGAGAGGATGGGTAAGCTTGGGTTGTTTTCATTGGAGCGGAGAACACCATAAGAAATAGGAACATTGGGAAGGCTGTTTGGCTCCTCAAGCCTAGTCCACTGTGCAATCATCTGCGAGAAGAAATTCCTCCTCATCTCAGTCTTAAATCACCTTGCCTTAATCCTCAGTCTCTGTCTTCTGGTCCTAGACTCTCCCATGACGGGAAACATCCTCTCAGCTTTGACCCTGTTGAGCCTCTTAGGAATCCTGCGTGTTTCAATGTAATAGTGAAGGCTGGGTCTTCAAATACATTCAGAATGGAGCTGGATTATATTTTGGTGTAAAAGGGGGTTCAGAAGGAGGAGAGATAGCAAGAAGTGAAGTGAAGGACACACATACTTCAGCCATCCTCTTTGTCAAAGACAGCCATAGATTTAATGATTGATTCTTGCTCCTGTTGTTCATGAGTTTACCATCTGAAGGAGTACACTGGACCTCTCTTTATAAGCTCACCCCCAACAATCCATCTCAGACTCTTATGTAGGTCTAGATATTGCTGGAAAGCTTTGAGAATGGAGCTGAAAACCCCAGGGTCAAAACTGTGACCCAGCTCATGCTGTTCAAGAGCTTGACATGAAGTGGAAAGCAAAATCCAGTGATCATTTTTGGAGGCATTTGGAGCATATATTGGGAGTGTCCCCACCCCTAGAGACAGATGGTTCACGTCCTAGGTACCCCAGAGATGTGTCCTAACATTTTTTGAACAGTTTGCTTCCAAATACATTAAAACCTTAAGTTATTGTGAGATTAACCATGATGAGAATCAGGGGCTAAAACAGAAATTGCTGGAGAAACTCAGCAGGTCTGTGGATAGAAAACAGAGTTAGAATTTCAGGTCAAGTGACCCTTCTCCAGAACAACCAGGGGGTTCCGTTGCCCAGGCAGGGGACAATGTGCTGAGAAATGCTGGATAGGCTGGGATGTTTTTCACTGCAGCATTGGAGGTTGACAGGCAATAGAAGTTTATAAAATAATGAAGTATAGATAGAATTAATGGTCGTCATCTTTTCCCTAGGATGGGGAATTTCTAGACCAGGGAGCACATTTTTTAAGGTGAGAGGAGAGAGATTTAAATTTGACAAGGGGAAAAATTTTTTTGCACAGAGGGTGGTTCACGTGCAGAATGAACATCCCAGCGAAGTGGTGGTTTTGGATACAATTACAACATATTAAAAACACTTGAATAAGTACATGAAAAGGAAATGTTTGAAAAGATATGGGCCAGGAGCAGGCAGGTGGGACGAGTTTAGTTTGGGATTATGTTCGGCATGGACTGGTTGGACCAAAGAGTCTGTTTCCGTGCAGTATGACTCTGTGACTCTTTGTGGAACACAGGGCTTGTTCCAAAATCCCATCAACACGATGACCCCTGTCTGTTCAGGAGGTGCTTTAAGCACTGGCACTGCCAAGGGCAAAATATGTCACAGCATGAAAGAGTGTGAGTTACAGTAAGAGACAGCTAGGGAATGAGTATGGTTGGTTTGACAACCTTATCATGTTAACAGCAAGCGGATTTGAGGAAAGTCAAAGCCAGAGCATTCAAGACAGAGAAGAATCTATTGAATTCCTAAGCCCACATTGCAAATACTTACAATTAAAGCAGAGAACAGTCAGCAGAGAAAGGAACAAATTGCACATTGTTCCTCTCTTCTCTTCTAGGTCTTAAGGTGAGCTGACTCCTGTCTTTCTGAGCTGTGTTATCTCAGAGTACGTTCTTATTCTCAAAGAACTTTACTGGGTGGAACCATATTTGTATGGTCGACGTGTGGGATGAGAGATTTTGAAACTGAAGCCACAGACACTGAAAACACCTTTGTTTTTGATAAATACTCCAATGTTTTAAATACATGTTTTTCTTAAGTTGTTAAGAAATGTGTGAAACCAGAACGTAATGCCTTTATTTCCTATTTTCATTCTCTCTCCTGCAGACACTATTTCTCACAGACCGCTCTGTCTTCACACTTATGTTTCTAATCTCATTCTCAGTATCAGTGTCAATGATCTTCACTGACAATAGGTCTTTGGCTTTTTCTCTCTCTTTTTTTCTTCTTTTGTCTCTTTCTATTCCATCCTTCAATCTCCAAAAACTTCGTTATGACCATGTTTTTTTTTGTTTTCACTGAAACCTGTTGAAATAACATCCAAGTCTCTCTCTGCTGCTGGCTCAGGTTTGTTTGAACACATCACTCATCATCAAAAGGAATGACTTGGATGATGTGAACAAATGTGCAGTTTACTCCTTTGCACAAAAGTAGCTGGGGAACTATGTTATGAAGACGGAATAAGGATTCTCTAAAGGATGTGGATTGTTTGAGTGAGTGGGCTGAAAATTGCCAGATTGAGGAGAAGGCGGAAAATGGAGATTTGTCTACTTTGGCAGGAAGAATTAAAAGACTTATTTAAATAGACTTACAAGGATTCAACTGAAGTAGACCATCCGATATAAGAGCAGATTGGGCCATTAAGCCCAACAAGTCTGCTCTGCTATTCAATCATGGCTAGTATGTTTCTCAACCCCATTCTCCTGCCTTCACCCCATATCCTGTGATTTTCCTACTATAACGAGCCTGTCTTAAATACACTCAATGACTTGACCTCCACAAGGCTCTGCAGCAATGAGTTCCAGCAGATTCAATCCCCCTCTGGCTGTAAAAATTCCTCCTCACCTCAGCGCTAAAGGGTCATGCCTTCACTCTGAGGCTGTGCCCTCAGGTACTAGTATCTCATACTAACGAAAACATCTTCTCCACGTCCAGTCTGTCCAGATCTCTCAGTATTCTGTAAGTTTCATTCAGATCCCCGTCATCCTTCTAAATTCCATCAAGTACACTCCTCATATGACAAGATCTTCGTTGCTGGGATCATTCTCGTAAACCTGTTCCGGACCCTCTCCAAGAGTCGCACATGCTTCCTTAGATATGGGGCCCAAAGCTGCTCACAGTATTCCGAATACAGTCTGACCAGAGCCTTATACAGCCTCAGCAGTACAGCCCTGCTCATTCTTTTTTTATCTATTGACTCATGGGATGTGGGTATCGCTGGCTGGCCAGCATTTATATTCTTGCATTTTAACCCTCTCGAAACGAATGCAATCATTGCACTTTCCTTCCTAACTGTCAACTGACGGCTACATCTGATTCCAGCTTCTCTCTCTCAAACTACAGGATGAATTCTATTGTATTATAGAGCTGTCCCACAGGGGTTCCTTCACCTTACGGTCTGCCTCATTACACATCACCCTGTCCAGAATTGCCTGTATTCTCATAGGGTCTACCACAAGCTGCTCCAAAAAAGACATCTCGTAGACATCACATGAATTATTTTTCCTGAGATCTGCTACCAACCTGATTTTCCCACCTGCATATTGAAATCACCCATGGTTATTGTAATAGTGCCTTTCTTGCATGCCTTTTCTATCTCCTAACTTACTTTCTTCCCCACATCCTGACTACTGCTAGGAGGACTGACATAACTCCCATCAAGGTCTTTTCCCCTTTGCGGGTCCTCAATTCTACCCATACAGATTCTATGTCTTCCGACTTGATATCAATTCTTGCTATTGATTTAATTTCATTTCTTACTAACAAGATAACCCAAACAGTCTGCCTATGATTTTGATAAGAGTGTATCCTTGTATATTGTCTGTGATACCCACAACATCGTACCTGCCAATTTCAATCTGTGCTACAAGCTCATTTACCTTGCTTTGCATAGTATGTACATTTCAGTACAAGTCCTGCATTGACTTGCCCCTCTATTAATAATTGCTACCTTATCTGCTGTGCCTGAATTTAGATTCCTGACCCATTTCATACTCTGTCCTATTACTAGTTCTACGAACTTTAATAACCTCTGCTGAAGCCTCCCCCATTTTAACTTTTCCTATAATTCTCCGTACACTGATTCCACACCTCTACAATTTGGCTTACCGCCATATCTACAGCCCTAGTTATGTGATTCTTCAAGTGTCTGGTACCAGCAGGATTCAGATGGAGCCCATCCCATGCGAACAGCTCCCTCCCATCCCAGAACCAATATCCCATGAATTCAAATCCATTTCTTCCAATCTTTGAGCCATGTGTTTACCCCTTTAATCTTATTGCCCCTGCGCCAATTTCCTCATGGCTCAAGTAGTAATCCAGAGATTTTTACCTGTTAGGTTCTGAATTTTAATTTAACCCCTGAATTCTCATATTTCCCTCAGCAGAACCTCCTTCTACCTAGATTGTTGGTGTCTATGTGGACCATGGCAACTGGATCTTTCCCTCCCACTCCAAGTTCCTCTGCAGCCCAGATGAGAGATCCTGAACGCAGGCACCAAGCAGGCAACAAAGCCTTCAGGACTCTTGACCCTGGCCAGTGTCTATTTCCCTGGCTTTTCAATCCCCGATTTGAACTATATTTCTCTTTTCTCCCCCCGTCTCTCCCCCCGTTTCCCTGTACCACTGTGCTGTGGTCAGTTTACTCCTCCTGCCTACAGATCCCACTATCATCCACACAAGGAGCAAGAATCTCAAACGTGTTAGACAAACTCGGGGGCTGAGGCTCATTCAGAACTACCTCCTGGATCCCTCTACCTGCCTCAATTGTAGTCACACCCTCCTGTCCCTGACCACTGACCGAATTCAACAATGTTAATCTAAGGTGTTTGACTGCCTCCTGAAACATAGCATCCAGGTAACTCTCCCCCTGTCATAGTGTTGAAGCTCAGACTCCAGCTCATCAACTCTGAGTCAGTGTTCCTCAGGCAAACAACACTTGTTACAGATGTGGTCACAATGAACCACAATGGATTTCACCAGCTCCCACATTATGCAAACACAACACAGCATCTGGTCTGCCACCTCCATTTTCATTACTTGGGTCTTAAGCTGATTTTTAAAAAAAAAATCCCACTGTTCTTTTAGTTTGTAATCTGTAAACATTTCTCCTACTTACCTTCAATCTGAAGGAAATCTATAATAGGCACTCAAATTAGTTGCTGCCACCCATCATAACCTTATGGTTTACCTTTTGCGCTGGGCCCCTAATGCTGGGCTTCAACGTATCCTGTGAAGATAAAGCCTACAAGCAATGAGCTGATAAAAAGCAAGCACAAAAACACCCCTTCCCCTCTGCACTGAATTTCCACACTGCCTGAAAATTCCCTGAACTATATACTCACTCAAGAAGATTCTCACTCTGAATGTGATCTCTCCTTTCTGATCGTGCAAAGCTTTCAGATTCCCTCATGGGAGAGTCTAGGACCAGAGGTTTAGTTTCAGAAAAAAGGGCACCGATTTAAGACTGAAGTGAGGAAGGATTTCTTCTCTTACAAGGTTGTGAGGCTTCAGATCTCCTGGCCACAGAGAGCTGTGAAGCAGAGTCCTTGTGTATATTTAAGGCTGAGAGAGATAGATTCTTCGTAAGGAAGGGAATTGTGAGATATGGGGAAGAGGCAGGAAAGTGGATGTGAGGAATGTTGGATCAGCTCTGATCCCATTGATTGGTGGAGCAGGCTTGAGGAGCTGAATGGCCTACTTCTTTTCCTATTTCATGTGGTCTTAATGGTGAATGGCTTAGAGGGGAACTTGCAGGAGGCAGTGTTCCCAGGTATCTGCTGCTCTTGTCCTTCTGGATGGAAATGGTAGTGGGTTTGGAAGGTGCTGTCTGAGGATCCTTGGTGAATTTCTGCAGTGAATCATGTATAGCGTAAACACTGCGGCTACTGAGCGTTGGTAGTGGAGGAAGTGGATGTTTGTGGATGCAGTGCCAAACAAGCGGGCTGCTTTGTCCTGAAGGGTCTCGAGCTTCTTGAGTTTTGTTGGGGCTGCACTCATCCAAGCAACTGGGAAGTATTCCATCACACTCCTCACTCGTGCCTTGTAGATGGTGGGACAGGCTTTGGGGGAGACAGGAGGTGAGTTACTCGCTGCAGGATTTCTAGCATCTGCCCTGCTCTTGTAGCCATTGCGTTTATGTGGTGAGACCTGTTGTTTTTCTGATCAATGGTAACCCCTATGAATGTTGAAAGTGATGGTAACAGAGGGCTCATTAGATTGTCTCTTGTTGGAGATGGTCATTGCCTTGATCGAATGCTTTCTCTGTGGGGTAGCTGAGTGCCAGTATTACTGGACCACAGTGTAGGATTGAGTTGGTTTTCAATACCGTAATTAATAATAGTCACTTGATCAAACAAGTGTGAAATTTTATTACATCCTGTTTGAGTGCGGTCACTTATTAAGAAGGATGCAACTGATGGAAATTTTTCTTAAGTAAACAGTAACTGATGAATGTGATACAGTGTTTGAACTGAGCTTCTATTCAAAGACAAAGGAAGCATTTTAAAATGGTTTGGTTTCCAATAAAGTCATATGGTCATAGGGAATATATGGAGTCATAGAGATCAGCAACACAGGAAAAGGCCCTTCAGCCCATCGTGTCTGCACTGGTCAAGAATAATCAACCAAGTATTCTAATCTATTGCTTTGGAACTGGTTATTGACAGTGAGATTTGGAGTCACATAACTGAAATCAATTAGTGTCCAAAGAAATCTGAAAACATGTTATTGGCGTATTCTTGCGACTGTCTATCATCCAAAATGTTCCAAGCGATTCAGTGGAAAAGATTAAAGCAACTGACCAATTTTGGATCTTTCGAATCTTCCTCACTGAATCAAAGCATTGCCGTTAACTACACAAATTCGTCATTAAAGAACA